TATATTTTATGCAAGTTTTAAAAATTATTTGGAGTGCTTGGCATTATATAATAGAATGGCTAAAATCGGGCATTGGTACCGAAAACGGGCATTTTTCGCGCTTTTTGCGTAACGAAATGCATTTTTTTTTTAAATATTCTTAAGGGAACTCATGTAAATTGAATACTTTTAATATCATTTCATGATCTTGTCTTATCAGTCTGATAGGCAGAATCGGGACCTGCCAATATCGTTAAATCGGTTGCGCGCGCAGAACCCAAAGTTGTCTTAAAAATGCCAAAGGCAATATATTGAGCTATAATTTACCAAAATTAACTATTTGGGATATAATATTAATATATTCACTGTACAGAACCCTGTTCCATTAATAAAATCAGTTAAAGTAAGTGCTAACCTGAGGTGGGAAGTTGAGGGTTGTCACAGTCTCCCCCGGTTAAAAGAATTTCGTCCCGAAATTCAATTTTTTTTTGACATGCGGTCACCCGTTCTAGTAAAGAGATAAGGGTATTTCTGTTTCATAAAGTCCTCACGTTCCCAAGTGTATTCCGGTCCATGCCTGGATTTCCAGTGAACCTTGACGATCGGGATTTTACTCCTTTTGAGCTGCTTAACTTCCCTGTCGAGTATCTCTTCTGGTTCTTCAACAAAGTGAAGAGTTTTGTCTACTTGAATTTCTTCCAAGGGAACAATTTGAGTTTCGTCGGCTAAACACTTTTTAAGGTTCGAAACATGAAACGTGCCATGAATCTCGCTCATCTCTTCGGGTAACTTGAGCTTATATGCGACGGGACCAACTTTGTCAATAAATTCAAAGGGTCCAATGTTCCTAGGGCTCAATATACCTCTTTTACCAAACCGCACTAAACCTTTCCAAGGKGATACTTTCAAAAGCACCTTGTCTCCCACCTGGAATTCCAATGGTTTCCTACGGTTATCAGCATAACTTTTCTGACGATCCCTAGCAGCCTTGAGTCTATCTCTGATGATAACAATTTTGTCGGTCGTCTCTTGAATTACCTCGGGTCCTGTCAGTTGACTATCCCCGATTTCCACCCAACTAAGTGGGGATCGACATTTTCGACCATACAAGGCTTCATAGAGGGCACACTGGATACTATTGTGATAACTGTTATTGTAGGAAAACTCTACCAATGGCAAATGGTTATCCCAGTTTCCTCCAAAATCCATAATGCATGCGCGCAACATATCTTCCAATGTCTGGATAGTTCTCTCACTTTGACCATCTGTCTGCGGGTGATATGCCGTGCTCCAATCCAAACGAGATCCTAATGCTTAGTGCAATGACTGCCAAAATCGTGATGTGAAGCGACTATCCCTATCGAAGATAATGGAGATGGGTACCCCATGATGGGAAACCACCTCGTTGATGTAGATTTGTGCAAGTTTTTCCATCTTATAGTCCTCCCGGATAGGTAGAAAATGCGCTGACTTTGTCAGGCGGTCAACTATTACCCAAATTGCATCATGCCCTCTGGCAGTTTTGGGTAACTTAGTCACCAAATCCATAGAAATCCGCTCCCACTTCCATTGCRGGATTTCTGGCTGTTGCAATAGACCTGATGGCTTCTGATTCTCAGCCTTGACTTTTGAACAGGTTAAGCATTTTCCAACATACAATGCCACATCTCTCTTCATTCCCGGCCACCAATAATACTCCTTTAGGTCCTTATACATCTTATCCGCTCCGGGATGAACAGAATACCGCGACTTATGAGCTTCAGATAAAATCAGTTCTCRCAGATCGCCAAACTTTGGTACCCAAACTCTTCCCTTTAAGTACTGCACACCATCRGTCTTAAGGTCAAACTTTCCTTCTAGGTGATGAAGAGTTTCATCCTTTAACTTCTCATCCTTTAGCGCCTCTTCTTGAGCTCCACGAATGCGAGTTTTTAAACTAGTTTGCACAAGCATTTCCAACGCTCGTACTCGTAAGGGTTTTACCCTTTCTTTGCGGCTTAGTGCATCAGCCACTATATTGGCCTTTCCTGGGTGGTATTTGATTTCACAATCATAATCACTAAGTAATTCCACCCATCTTCGCTGTCTCATGTTGAGCATTTTCTGGTCAAGGATGTGTTGAAGGCTTTTGTGGTCTGTAAACATGGTGCACTTTGTACCATACAGGTAATGTCTCCAAATTTTAAGTGCAAAGACCAC